CTGAGGCCTCCTGCTCCTGGGGCCTCTCGGGGCCTCCTGTTGCCTTCCGAGGCCTCCTGGCGCTTCCTGTTGTCTCCTGGGGTCTCCTGTGGTTTCCTGAGGCCTTCTGGAGCTTCCTGGGGCCTCCTGGAGCCTCTTGGGACATCCTGTGGCCTCTTGAGTCTTTCTGTGGCCTCCTGATGCCTCCTGGGACCTCATGTGGTCTCCTGGGGCCTCCTGGAGCCTGTTGGAGCCTCCTGTGGCATCCTGAGAAGAATCTGCGCCCACGAGCCTGGCCACCAAAACAAGCAAACCGATCGAGACATCCTCAAAATCTGGCCCACCTGGGGGGTGAAAATGAGCGCCTCGCTCGAGACATCCTCCAAATCTGCTCCGAAAGCGAAGGATGTTGGGCCCAGAAACAAGCAAACCGCCTGAGACATCCCCACAAAATGGCCGCGAACGAGCCCGTGCAACCACCCCTGGCGGCTCCCCTTAGGGGTGCTGAAATGAGCGCCTCGCTCGAGACATCCTCCAAATCTGCTCGAAAGCGAAGGATGTTGGGCACAGAAACAGGCAAACCGCCTGAGACATCCCCACAAAATGGCCGCGAACGAGCCCGTGCAACCACCCCTGGCGGCTCCCCTTAGGGGTGCTGAAATGAGCGCCTCGCTCGAGACATCCTCCAAATCTGCTCCGAAAGCGAAGGATGTTGGGCACAGAAACAGGCAAACCGCCTGAGACATCCCCACAAAATGGCCGCGAACGAGCCCGTGCAACCACCCCTGGCGGCTCCCCTTAGGGGTGCTGAAATGAGCGCCTCGCTCGAGACATCCTCCAAATCTGCTCCGAAAGCGAAGGATGTTGGGCACAGAAACAGGCAAACCGCCTGAGACATCCCCACAAAATGGCCGCGAACGAGCCCGTGCAACCACCCCTGGCGGCTCCCCTTAGGGGTGCTGAGTATGAGTAAGTCTGTGTATGAGTAAGTCTGTGTATGAGTAAGTCTGGGTATGAGTAGGTCTGTGTATGAGAAAGTCTGTGTATGTGTACGTCTGGGTATGAGTAAGTCTGAGTATGACTAATACTGTGTATGAGTAAGTCTGGGTATGAGTGAGTCTGTGTATGAGTACGTCTGGGTGTGAGTAAGTCTGTGTATGAGTAAGTCTGTGTATGAGTATGTCTGAGTGTGAGTAAGTCTGAGTATGAGTAGGTCTGAGTATGAGTAAGTCTGAGTATGAGTAAGTCTGTGTATGAGTAAGTCTGAGTATGAGCAAGTCTGAGTATGAGTAAGCCGACAGGAGGGGAGGAGAAAAGAGGAGGAGGAAGGAGGAGGAGTAGGAGGCGTCCAAGTAATAATATTCACTGCGTGGAGCTCCCCATATGTGCATCTACTCGCATGGACCTGTCCGCCGTGAATGTCTAGGCGCAAGAGCTTTCGAATATTAACGGGCTTCAGTTGTGACGGTCTGGACATCAATCTAACTGCGAATGAATTGGAGTGTGAATGAGCCTCAGTAGTACGAGCGCGTCTCTGTGCATGAGCCTGGGGCCTCCTGGGGCCTCCTGAAACCTACTGGCCTCTTGGGACCTCCTGGGACCTCCTAGGAAGGTTTCGTGCCCCAGGAGAGGCGCAATATATAGCAACAGACGTACATAAAACATTGCGGATTAGAGCCACAGGAGAAGGGCAATCTATAGGAACACGCGTAAAACACCAAGGACTCGTGCCCCAGGAGAGGCCCAATACATAGGAACATGAGTAAAACCTTTAGGATTGTGTACACAGGAGAAGGACCATCTATAGAAACATACGTAGAACATCAAAGAATCGTGCTCCAGGTGAGGCCCAATCGATAGGAGCATACGTAAAACACATGGGATTGGAGCCACTCCTGTTGCCTTCTGAGGCCTCCTGCTCCTGGGGCCTCTCGGGGCCTCCTGTTGCCTTCCGAGGCCTCCTGGCGCTTCCTGTTGCCTCCTGGGGCCTCCTGTGGTTTCCTGAGGCCTTCTGGAGCTTCCTGGGGCCTCCTGGAGCCTCTTGGGACATCCTGTGGCCTCTTGAGTCTTTCTGTGGCCTCCTGATGCCTCCTGGGACCTCATGTGGTCTCCTGGGGCCTCCTGGAGCCTGTTGGAGCCTCCTGTGGCATCCTGAGAAGAATCTGCGCCCACGAGCCTGGCCACCAAAACAAGCAAACCGATCGAGACATCCTCAAAATCTGGCCCACCTGGGGGGTGAAAATGAGCGCCTCGCTCGAGACATCCTCCAAATCTGCTCCGAAAGCGAAGGATGTTGGGCACAGAAACAGCAAACCGCCTGAGACATCCCCACAAAATGGCCGCGAACGAGCCCGTGCAACCACCCCTGGCGGCTCCCCTTAGGGGTGCTGAAATGAGCGCCTCGCTCGAGACATCCTCCAAATCTGCTCCGAAAGCGAAGGATGTTGGGCACAGAAACAGGCAAACCGCCTGAGACATCCCCACAAAATGGCCGCGAACGAGCCCGTGCAACCACCCCTGGCGGCTCCCCTTAGGGGTGCTGAAATGAGCGCCTCGCTCGAGACATCCTCCAAATCTGCTCCGAAAGCGAAGGATGTTGGGCACAGAAACAGGCAAACCGCCTGAGACATCCCCACAAAATGGCCGCGAACGAGCCCGTGCAACCACCCCTGGCGGCTCCCCTTAGGGGTGCTGAGTATGAGTAAGTCTGTGTATGAGTAAGTCTGTGTATGAGTAAGTCTGGGTATGAGTAGGTCTGTGTATGAGAAAGTCTGTGTATGTGTACGTCTGGGTATGAGTAAGTCTGAGTATGACTAATACTGTGTATGAGTAAGTCTGGGTATGAGTGAGTCTGTGTATGAGTACGTCTGGGTGTGAGTAAGTCTGTGTATGAGTAAGTCTGTGTATGAGTATGTCTGAGTGTGAGTAAGTCTGAGTATGAGTAGGTCTGAGTATGAGTAAGTCTGAGTATGAGTAAGTCTGTGTATGAGCAAGTCTGAGTATGAGTAAGTCCGACAGGAAGGGAGGAGAAAAGAGGAGGAGGAAGGAGGAGGAGTAGGAGGCGTCCAAGTAATAACAAGAACCCCATCTTAGGATATGGGGAACAAGAATAGGAGGCGTCCAAGTAATAACAAGAACCCCATCTTAGGATATGGGGAAATAGTCTGGGCACGCTCTTCCTTTTTTCCATGTTTGAACACTTCTGGGCTTTTCTATATTTGTCTCCCAAAAATCCGCCTGTAGGAGGACATGACCGACCTAAGCGTGGTGTCCGCCTGCGCCGCTGGCTCGCCCGGGAGGGCGCCGGAGGAGCGGCGGCGCCCTCGCGCGGCGGCGCCGCTCGTTGGCTCGCCCCGCGAGCGAGTCCTGGCGAGGCGCGCGGCGGACGCCACGCCACGGGCGAGCTCGGCAGCAAGTCGCGGCCTGGGAGCACTGCGTGTTCCCTCCTAGTGCCGTCATGCCCAGACCCCCTCGCTGGCTGCCCCGGGGGGGGACCTGATGCGCCCCATGCCCCGCTTCCGCCAGCCCGCGTGGCGCGTGAGGAGGAGCACGGAGAAGAAGGCCAGGGACGACAGTATGATGAGGAGGCCCTGCAGCCCGCCGAAGAAGCGGAACACGTAGCCGGAGGCGTTCCGGCACAGCGGGTTGACCTCGAACGTCGGGGGCGAGGGGGGGGGACGAGGCGAGCGTCCGAGTCGAGCGTCCCCCGATGGAGCATCGGCTCGTGCTCATCAGGCATGGCGCAGGAGCAAGACGAGGAGGGAAGGAGGGAGGAGGGAAGCGTGGAGGAGGCAAAGACGGAAGGAGGAGGAGATAAGGAGGGAAGCAGGAAGGAGGTGGGAGCGAGGAGGAGGAGGAGGAGAAACAGGGAAGGAGAAGGAGGGAAGGAGGGAAGGAGGGAAGGAGGAGAAGGGCGACGACGACGACGACGACGACAACGACGGCGACGACGACGACAACGACGGCGACGACGACAACAACGACGGCGACGACGACGACAACGACGGCAACCACGACGACAACGACGGCGGCGACGATGGGGGGGTCATAAACTCCTTAAACGCCCTGAACCCCACCTCTTCCCCACCTCCCCCATCCTTCCTCCCTCCCTCCATCCTCACCATCATCATCCTCCTAATCCTCCTCCTCATCATCATCATCATCATCATCATCATCAGCATCATCAGCATCATCATCATCATCATCATCATCATCATCATCATCATCATCAGCATCATCATCATCATCATCATTTTCAGATTCATCATCATCATCATCATCATCATCATCATCATCAGCATCATCATCATCATCATCCTTATTATCATCACCCTCCCCCATCCTTCCTCCATCGTCATCATCACCCTCCCCCATCATCATCATAATCATCATCATCAGCAGCATCATCATTCTTCCATCTCCCATCCTCCTCCTCCTCCTCCTCATCATCATCATCATCATCATCATCATCATCATCATCATCATCATCATCCCCCATCCTTCCTCCTTCCCTTTCCATCGCCCATCCTCCTCCTCATCATCATCATCCTCACCCTGCCCATGGCCCTCCCCATCCTGCTCCTCCTCCGCCTCCTCCGCCTCCTCCTCCTCCTCCTACTCCTCCTCCTCCTGCTCCTGCTCCTCCTCCTCCTGCTCCTCCTCCTCCTCCTCCTGCTCCTCCTCCTCCTCCTTATCCTCCTCCTCCTCTTGCCCGATGAGCCCAACCCCCGGCGGCGACACAGACGCTGGGAACATCGTGTCCTCTTCCTCCTCTTCACCCTCCTCCTCCTCTTCCTCCTCCTCCTCCTTATCCTCCTCCTCCTCATCCTCCGATATTATTATTTCGTCGGTTTCCTCCTCCTCCTCCTCCTCCTCCTCCTCCATATCTTCATCTTCATCCTCCTCCATGCTCTCCTGCACGCCAGTCCTCGTGTCGTCCTCACTCACTCCTCCCTCATCCTCATCATCAGCATCACCACCATCATCACCAACACCACCACCTCCATCAGCATCACCACCACCGCCACCACCACCATCATCATCATCAGCATCATCATCATCAGCATCATCATCATCATCATCATCATCATCAGCATCCTCATCATCAGCATCATCATCATCAGCACCATCAGCATCATCATCGGCAGCAGCATCAGCATCATCATCTGCAGCATCATCGTCGTCGTCATCATCAGCGTCATCATCGTCAACGTCATCAGCATTATCATCAGAAGCATCAGCATCATCATCATCGTCCTCCTCATCATCATCACATCATCATCATCATCATCATCATCATCATCATCATCATCATCATCATCATCATCACAATCGGCATCATCATGATCAGTATCATCAGCATCAGCATCATCAGCAGCAGCAGCATCACTAGCAGCAGCAGCAATATCATCAGCATCATCATCCGCATCATCAGCAGCATCATGATCATCAGCATCATCACCATCATCAGCATCATCAGATGTATCATCATCACCACTATCAGCATCATCGTCAGCATAATCGTTACTATCGTTATCGTGATCAGCATGATCGTCATCATCATCAGCATCATCATCATCATCACCATCATCATCATCATCATAATGGTCATCATAAGAATCATCATCATATCCAGCACCATCATCATCACCACCACCATCACCATCATCACCATCACCAGCATAATCATCGTCGTTGCCATTGCCAGCACATCACCACCATCACCATCATAGATATTTCCACCATCAACTGTGATTATCAACATCGTCCTCTTACCATGCACTCCTCTTCCCCTCCCTTCCTCCTCGTAAGCCTCTTGTCCCTCCCCCTCCTCATCCTGCCCTTCCCCCTCCCCCCTACACCAGAGGCGGCATGGGCACCATCAATCGGTGCAGCCATCCACCTCCCGCATCCTCCCCCTCCCCCTCCCCCCCCCCCGCGCAAACTCCCCTGCGCGCGAACTCCCCTGCGCGCGGCGGCGGCGGCGGCGGCGGCAACAACAACAACAACGACGACGACGACGGTGGCGACGACGACGACGACGCCGACGACGACGACGACGACGACACCGAAGAAGCCGGCGGCCACCTGCACGCTGGGGACGTTGGGCCCGCACCTCGGCTCTGCCGCCGCCGCCGGGTGCACCGCCGGCCACCGCCGCGGCGCGCGCGCACGCGCGGAGGCCCGCTCCTCGGCGCGCCCGCTCGACGCGCGCGGGAGGCCCGGGCCCGACGCGCAGCGTGCGGCGCCGGTGCACGGGCCCTCAGACGGCCCACCAGAGCAGGACGAAGACGATGTCATGAGGGGGGTCGGCTCGGAATGCGCCCCAAGATGTCCAGAGTGTCTCGCGGCCCTCGTTGCTGCAGCCCGTCTGGGGGGCATGAGGGAATCTTGGAAAGCCTGGGTGTCTTGAACATTCTCGCAACAAATCATGATCATGACCTCTTGCTCCCGTGAAGGAGGGCCCCGAATCGTCCAAGGATACTTTAATCCCTGGCACGGAACACCCGAGCTGGTCGCGCTTGAAGCGCGCGGCCCACCTCCGAGGAGGGTGCCCAGGAGTGCCTGCATGAATTCACACGCAGTCGGCCCATACAGCCTCAGGCCAGAGCCAGAGAACAGCGGCGGCTCACGTAGCCCAGAGCCGCCGCAGCTGCATGGGACTCTCTGGTAGCCAGCCAGAGAACACGGGCGCCGGCGCCACACCCACTTGCCCGCCGGCCCAACGAAGCAATGGATTACCCACAGCAGCGATGGGACTGTAGTTCCCCATCACCTCCAGACGTTAGGAGGCCCCCGTAAGGTAACTCCGTTTGAAGGAGCCCTTCCAGGGTGGATCAGGGAGCCGCATCCTACACTCGACTGGCTAGGCCGAGCGGCAAGAGTCTCTCCCCAAGCTGCGTCCAGCAAGGGTGACGATCGGGCTGCTACCCGCCTGTTCTCGAGAGACGGCCGAAGCCCTCTGTGGCACAGGTGCCGAATCATCCAAAGGACCGCTCCGAGACGCCCAGGATGGCGTCAAGAGGGCCCAAGAAGCTTCCAGGACGCCACAAGAGGCCCCCCCAGAAGGGCCCCCAGAGGCCACAAATCATCAATGCTCCTTAGGCTTGGGAAGGGTTTCACCGTTCTAGCCTTTTCGGGCTTCCAGCGCTCCGAGACGTCCCAAGAGGCCGCTAAGATCGCTCCAAGAAGGCCCCAATGGCCGCGGTGGACGGCGATCAGTCGGGCCAAGACGTGAAGGCGCGCCGCACACGCCCGAGCCGCCCGTGCCATGCCAGCGTCCCCACTCCGACCTGCTTACGGCCGACCCAGACGTCGCAATTTTTTCACAACGTCGACCCCCAGAGGTCTGGAACCCTCCCCCGGGATCGGTTTCTTATCCTGAGTCGTTTTTGTTGATGGTCCCAGGGCCCGGTAAGGGCCCTCTGAGGCCGAGAATAGCGAAACAAAAACCCGTCTGGATCTTTTTGAACAACGCGAGGGGGTCTGGGGAGCACTGCATCTTGCTGGCAACCGCCTCGCGAAGGCCTGCCGACCGCGCGCGGAGCTCCTCACCGAGCCTCGTCGGCGCGCCGCGACGGGGGGCTCGGAGCGCCATCGACGCGCGGCTCCTGCCACAGGAGTCGAGGTTCGGGTCTGTCGGCGGACGTGGCGCCCCCCCCGGCGCTCATCGAGAGGTCCGGAGCAGCCTCGGGCCCGATGGTCGAGGGCCGATGGTCGAGGGCAAATGGTCGAGGGCCGATGGTCGAGGCTCGAGGCTCGAGGGCGTGAGGCTCGAGGGGCGAGGATCGAGGGGCGAGGATGAAGGGTCGAGGATCGAGGCTCCAGGAGAGAGAACCGAGGAGGATCGAAGGGATCGAAGATGGATGGCCCAGGATCCAGACTGGACGTCTTGACCCTTTCGGGACCTCTGGAAGCCTCCGGAAGCCTCCAGAGGCATCCAGACTCGGCGCCGCGACACAAAATCGCGGCGGCCCTCGTGCTCTCGCCGTGCTTCCGCCCATGCCTACTCTTGTTCCTCCTTGTCCTCCTCCTCCTCCTCCTCCTCCTCCTCCTCCTCCTCCTCCTCCTCCTCCTCCTCCTCCTCCTCCTCCTCCTCCTCCTCCTCCTCCTCCCCTCCTCCTCCTCCTACTCCTCCTCCTCCTCCTCCTACTCCTCCTCCTTCCTCCTTCCTCCTCCTTCCTCATCCTCCTCCTCCTCCTCCTCCTCCTCCTCCTCCTCCTCCTCCTCTCCTCCTCCTCTCCTCTCCTCCCCCCTCTCCTCCTCCTCCTCCTCCTCCTCCTCCTCCCTCCCTCCTCCTTCATCCTCCTCCTCCTCCTCCTCCTCCTCTGCTCCTCCTCTCCTCCTCCTCCTCCTCCTCCTCCTCCTCCTCCTCCTCCTCCTCCTCCATCCTCCTCCCTCCTCCTCCCTCCTCCTCTCCTCCTCCTCCTCCTCCTCCTCCTCCTCCTCCTCCTCCTCCTCCGTCCTCCCCAGGCCCGTGGGGCGGTGGAAAACCGCTGTCCTTTGGGTGGCGTGGGGAGGTTGGGGAGCGAGAGGGGGTGGGTTTGGGGCGCGTGGGGGGGCGGGCAGGGGGCGTCGGGCAGGTTGGCACGGGGGGGGCGGCTTATTGAAGGATGTGGAGTGGCTGCGTCCGAGGGGGGGGCCCTCCTGTTTTTGGAAGGGGCGGGAAGGCGGACTCCGACGTCTTCTGCCTCTTGCTGTCCCGTGTGGAGCCCTCGTGGCCACGGCTGGACGCACCCAGAAAACTCGCCGGGCTGGCGTACAGGGGGGGCCCGGGGACTGCCCCTGAGCGAAGCTGGACGGGACCCCCCAGACCTCCAGGCGGCGCGAGAAAGGTCACGACGGGCGCCGTTTCCGCGATCGGGGGAGGGAGCGGGGGGGGGCACGAGGAGTAGGAGGAGGGAGGGGGAGAAAGAGGTTGGAACAAGAGAAGGAGACAGGAGGATCATAGAGGAGGATAGAGAAGGATAGAGGAGGAGGAGGAGGAGGAGGAGGAGGAGGAGGCAACGCTCAAGAGAACTTTCATGCCACGAACTTCCAAGTTCCAGGAGGAGGCGGAGAAGGATGAAACAAGCGGTGGATAATTACGAGGAAGAGGAGGTAGGAGGAGGATCGGAGTAGACCTCTGCAAAAAATTCTAAGCATGGAGCCACTGCCGAAACAATTGTGTCCTGGGCCCCTGAGACTCGCTACGAACGATTCGCGTTGACAGGCCAGCCACGTGGATGGGGTTCAGTGAGGAAGCCGCAGCGGAAGAGGACCGGGGACCCCTCGCGAGCCGCGCCCGCGTGCCGAACGCTTGCTTCTCGGGGCGAGGGCGCCACCTCTCCGCCCTTCCTGCCCCCCCTTCTCCCCAGCCGCCTCGTACCGTTGCCCCTCCCTGCTCCCAGTTCCCCCTCCCTCCCTCCTCTCCTCCTCCCAATTCCACTCACCAGCTCCTCCCCTTTCCTCTCCCCACCTCCACCCCCCCACCTCCCCCCCCTCTCCATCCGTCCGTTATCCTCCTGCCTCCCCCCCTTTCCTCCTCCCCGCTCCCCGTCCCTCCCCTTCCACCCTCCCTCCCTTCGCCCCCCCCCCCCGACCCCACCCCTCGCCAATGCGCCTCGACGACAGCCCACACCTTGCGAGGCAGCTAGGGCCCACACTTGAATGGGCACGTGGCGTTTGGCCAGCCTTCGGTGGTGTATCCGCTGGGCCCGCTGGCTGGGGCTCTACGCTCCTCCCTCCCTTCCTCCCTCCCTCCCTTTTCTTATCCCTCCGCCTTTCCCTGCCTCCTCCTCTTCCTCATCCTCCTCCTCTCCTCCTCCTCCTCCTCCTCCTCTTCATCATCATCATCAGCATCATCAGCATCATCATCATCATCATCATCAGCAGCAGCAGCCGCATCAGATTCATCATCATCATCATGATCATCATAATCATCAGCATCATCATCATCATCATCATCATCATCATCATCATCATCAGCATCAGCATCACCATCACCATCATCGTCATCCTCATCTCCATCCTCATCCTCATCCTCATCACCACCAGCAGCAGCAGCATCAGCAGCAGCAGCAGCTGCATCATCATCATCATCATGAGCAGCAGCATAATCATCATCGTCATCGTCATCAGCAGCATCATCATCGTTATCAGCAGCATCATCATCGTCATCAGCAGCAGCATCATGATGTCGTCATCATCAGATTCCCTCTCCTCCTCTTCTTTCTCCTCTTCCCCCCTTCCGTCCTCATCATGGTATACCTCCTCATCATCACCATCATCACTCTCAGTGTCCTCCTCCTACGCATCAGCATCCTCCTTAATATCATCATCAGCAGCATCATCAGCATCATCATCATCATCATCACCATCATCATCAACAGCAGTAGAGCGGCAACATCAGCATCAGCATCAGCAACAGCATCAGCAGCATCAGCAGCAGCAGCAGTAGCAGTATCATCATCATCATCAGCATCATCAGCAGCAGCATCATCATCATCCTCGTCATCGACCTCGTCCTCGTCCTCATCTTCATCCTCACCCTCATCATCATCCTCATCCCCCTCAACAGCAACCCTTTTCCTTATAAACGATTCATCCCTGTCGCACCCAGAGGCGTGTCGGTAGGGCGAGCACTTCCTCACCATGTAGGGTCCTTAGGCTGAAAGTTTGCCAGACACTCACAGATGGAATGCGGGCCGTTTTCACAGTGTGGCTCTCGCCTTAGCGACGCGCACATTCGTCCTAAGAAGCTGCAAGAGCTTCACGGATGGAGGGCGATACCTTTTCGAGACGTAGCTCGCACCTCAGCGCCGCGCACACTCGTCCTAAGAGTTTACAACAGGTTCAAGGATTCTCACGGCGGGCGGGCGTCCAGAACTAACTGGTGTTTTGGCACGATGTGAACTGTCAGGGTGCGACGGTTAAACTGATTCGCTGTGCTAAGTCCCAGGAATGGTGTCCTGGCACGGTTCAGGATCGTCACGACGCAGCAGTAACGCTGATTCGCGACGTTGAAGTCTCAAGAATGGTGTTCTGGCATGGTTCAGGATTTTCCGACGGTTGTCTTCCAGCGTGGCACTTCCCTCGTTGAAAATGAATCCGTCTAGGGACCTACGAAGAAGAAACTTGGATGGAGGGTGTATGGCAACATCGTTGACGAGTCTTGGGTCTACACTGGTCCTCCTCCTCGACATCATCATCCTCCGCATCCTCCTCATTATCATCATCAGCAATATCATCATCTTCTTCGACAAACATCATCATCACCATGATCATCGGCATCATCATATCATCCCCCTCCTGCACCCTCATCAGTTCAGAGTGCTCCTCGGCACCATAATCAGAATCGAATCATCATCATCATCACAACAACCACCACCACCATCATCATCAAAATCGTTATCACCCTCATTACTCATTATCATCATCAGCAGCAGCATCATCAACATCATCAGTATCATCATGATCATCATCATCATCATCATCATCATCATCATCAGCATCATCATCATCATCATCATCATCATCATCATCATCATCATCATCATCATCATCATCATCATCATCATCATCATCATCGTCATCTTCACCGTCACCATCACCATCACCATCACCATCCTCCTCTCTCCCCCCTCTCTACTCTTCCCCCGTCTCCTTTGTCATCATCCTGCCTCATCGTCATCCTCGCGCTCCTCCTTCCTTTATCCCTCATCCATGTGTCTCCTCAGGCTCCTCCCCCTTCGCCATCCTCTGGCGAGCCCCTTTGTGATGAAGCACCGCTGCTGCAGCAAACGATATCCTCCTGCCCGCGCTGCTGCGTGCCGTCGCTCTCTCGGCAGACATCGCAGAGCACGGCGGAGTAGGGCCGAATGGCTTTGCCCATGGAACGCTGAAGCCCGACGAGAGTCAAGCAATGACAGGCCGACCATCGAACGTCGAGACAAAAAGGGCCGACCGGAGGGGGGGGAGGAAGATGAAGGGGAATACGAAAATAGGGAGGGTGCAGAGGCTGCCCCGACAATGATGATCGGCGGTCGCAAACGGAAGCCCAAGGCGGCCGAACGGACCCTGATGATTGATGATAGCTGATGGCGGGACCTCTGGCTTTCGGAGCATCCTGTGTGCGACGCCCGCCCAACCGAAACCACACTTTCACCGTCTATGTGTGATCAACACCTCCCTCCCACCCTTCCTGCTGCGACCAACTCTCCTCGGAGAGCGGCAGGCCAGCGGCCAGCGCGAACACAACAAACTGACCTGGCCCCACCGACTTCTCTGCCCGAACGCGCGATTTCTGCCCAACAGATGTCTGTCGCACAATTTCGCCCAACCACACGACGTCCCACGAATGGAGCAATGCTCAGCCCTCTGGTGGGGTACTGCGTCAGGGCCTGCAGCGTCGGGAGACTGGAGGGTCTGGCGCGAGCCGCACGAATATTGCCTCCTCAGGCTTATTGTTACAGTCCAGGCACTTCGCGTTGCCGCCAGTGGAGTACCTGCCAGCGGGGCACTGCTCGCACAGCATGCCGTACCTGCCGCCCTGACCGCGCCTGCTTTCTCTTCGACAAGAACAGACTCCCAGATGCATCAGAAAATCCCAACATCGTACTCACGACCCCTCAAACAACTGTCCCGATTTTGATACGTTTTCGGTCAGCGCTATTCCCAGCACAGCACTGAATATATCGGCCCGTTTGGGTTTCCACGCAGGCTCCTGTGCAGCTCCATATTTCCAGCAAGCAATGCCCCTGAACGATTTCACAACTTATAACTGGCTAAAACGCACTTACTTACGTTGTTAAAGAGCGCTGTCCGGGTCAGACGGGGTCCTCGAACTCTCCTGACGCAAATGATACTGTATACTACGAAACTGCGACTGCCGTGATACGGCATCATATGATAAACTGTGCTGTTCTTGTGGTACGATGTGATAATGGTATGCTACACCATGCTACGCCACGCGGGGCACGAAAGTCAACGCAACGATAATGGAAATAGCAAATGGTATGGTGTACGCCATGCGAAAGCGATGCTATGGACTAGCATGCTATGGGACGCAATCATAGAATGCGCGTGCTGTGCTCCACCATAACATGACACATTGCGATGTGGCGGCCGCCGTTCAGTACATTGAGGTATGTTACAACACAGTTGCAGCATCAATGCTCTGCAGAGCATCGCAAATGCATGCACTGGAATGTAAAGCATGTTCAAAGCGAAAGGTCGCACTGGAACAGAAACAAGACACCTCTGATTGGAACCATGACAGGGTTACTGCACTGGTCGTCATGACAGTCACGACGGACCCGACCCGCCCGCGACCACGACCCACGACGCGATCCACCCGCACGACCCACGATCTGCCCGCGCCTTGAAAATTGCACGGGTCGAGAAAATGGCGACAATGGCGAGAGGCCAAGCAGGTAGGGGAGTAAGAATCGAGACGGAAAAAAAAAAACTGCCAGGGATCTCGAACTGCCAAGGCTCCCCCGCGCCCAGCCCACGATACCCTGGCCCGCGCTTGGATCACAACGCACGGCTCGCACTTGTGTTCGGTCCTTCCGGGGATACGGCTGTGCATGTTGTGCTTGTGTTTGCTCTCTCTCTCTCTCTTTCTCTCTCTCTCTCTCTTTTTTCTCGGTCCAATCATGAATACCCTCCGCCGCCAGCGCCGCCGCCCGCGGCCTGCCTCGCCCTCAGCCAGGGCGCCCTCTCTCTCTCTCTCTCTCTCTCTCTCTCTCTCCCCGCCCCCCCGAGCGATGCATGAGGATCGGCTCGTGCGGGGGGCATTGCCGTGAGGCCGACGGCGGCCCACCTTCTTCCGCGTCGCACACGGTGGCTCCTCCTGCACAGTGTGGGCCACTCACCATCGAACGGAGCTTGTTGTTCTATCTCCCCGGCAATGTAGCCGAAGACACTGTGAAGTCTAATCCGCACCTGCGGTGGATTAGGACCCACCGAAATTGCTCCGCAGAAAAAGACTGGTTGCTGAAAACTTGACCCCCTTGGCACAAACGCAGGCATGAAAACTGAAACTCGCGCAACCCCAATAGGGGGTATCAACTTTGCTGAAGGCGTGCATGTGCAATGCAACGCAATGAAGTGTCCGGCAATGGTGCACTATGCAATGCAAAGCATAGCACAGCAAAGCCCGCCAACAAAAACCAAACAACGCTTCTCTTCAAACAAGCAAAATGCTCCGAAACATGCCAATCCAAGAAAACTGCACAAAACCAGCAACAGCGCCTCAAAACAATGAGACCAAAACAAAACAGGATCTGACCAAAAAGAAAATCGAAGACGAGGCCTGTAAACGACCGCTGCTAGCGAACACATCTCACCATCAGTCAGCGCCAAATAAAAAATTAAATGCCAGGAAAACTTGCACTGTGGCAAAAAAGCGGCCAAAAAGCGGGAGTAAACAAAAACGAGCACCACTAACTTGAAACTTCTGGAAGGCAGCAAACCCGCCCGAGTCACGGGAAGGGGGGGAACGCGGGAGAAGGGGATACGTGCTGTCGGTATATTGCACTTAACTTGAGACACAGGACAGCTACAGAGCTGGTAAGCACGCCTCATCGATTCAAAATCAGGCGCGTTCGTCTGTCGCATCCAGAGGTCTGATCTCGGTCTGCTAGCCGAGCTAGGTCCGCAAACCTATTCGTATTATTCGAGTCATCTTGACAGGCACTCTCGCGGGCTTCTGTACTTGACTCGAGCTATACTACAGCTCCAGAGCTGATACTTACAGAAACCGATTCAGGGTCATTATCCGCGTTTGTCTGTTGAATTCAGAGCTCTGAACTCGGTTTGCTGCTCGCTCTAGAATCGCGAAACTATTCGTATTGTTCGAATCATCTTGAGAGGTGTTCTCGGTTTTCTTTAATTAACTCGGATTCTGGAATGGCTACAGTGCTGGTAGTCACAAGAATGGATTTGGAGACGTCAAGCGCGTCCGCCTGTCGAACCAGAGCTTGGAACTCGGTCTGCTGCCCGAACTAGGTTCGCGAAATTATTCGTATTCTTCAAGCC